AAAAAAAAAAAAAAAAAAAAAAAAAAAAAAAAAAAAAAAAAAAAAAAAAAAAAAAAAAAAAAAAAAAAAAAAAATAATAATAATAATAATAGGCTATACAAATTTAATTATTTGGCTTTCATAATATGAAACTTTTAAATAAACCCGGTTGAGCTGATTTTTTTTTTTTTTTTTTATACAAAAATTTTAAAATCCGTTCGGTTATTAAAATTTTTTCAAATTTTGGCTCGGCCTGGTTATGAAAAACCATTAATTAATTTCGCATGACCTTACATACCTGTTGCCCTATTGTTTTTTTGTGAAAACCCCATAAGTGCATGAATTTTCGTGTGGTGGTTTCCGAAATAGTGATCGATACTCCAAGCAATTTAGGAAAGATATTTGTTTCTAATTCTTTCTTTAGTGCTAAAGGAGAACGATCTTTTGGTGGAATAGAACGTAACCAGCTACAAGTTGCCAGTTTGAGATCCTCATCATCAAGCAATGATTCTCTTTTTGCGTGTTTTCCCTGTTGATGTTTAGGTAAGGTACCTTGTTCAAGAAAGTCTTTTGCCTATCCTCTAATGCAATAAGATATATATTCTGTATTCCGAATATCCTTCCATAAAGTATCCGCAATTTTTTCTGATGCACTTATTTTTTTTTCACCATCTAGTAACAACCTATAATAATGGAAAATAGAAGTCAACCTTTGTACTTCATAAGGTTGTGATTTAGCTAAATTTTTTTTAGCATTTAAAGACTTTGAAGTTGATTTTTTAATTCGTTATAACGCTCCTCTATTCATTGCATTTGTCGTTTAGATTGGGCTAAAATATCTTCACAGTATGATAGGGCTGGTGCTTTTTCTTTATCTTGAGCCTTTATGCTCCACATTTCATCAAGAGTTTGCATCTGTTTAGCTTTGTGTTGAAGTTGTTCCTGGGCCTTCCTTTTTTTCCAAAGGTTTGTTCTTGAGTTTCCTAAAATTTTATTATTAGTATAAAGATTTAAGATTTATATACTTCGACATTGATTTTTGATATGAAACTGCTGAGATACCTCAGCGGTTTCATATCAAAAATCAATGCCGAAGTACCAAAATAGCTTTCAATTGTACCAGTATAATAAGTGGATTTCAATTTTTTATTAGCTTTTTCATGCCATTCTATAGTTTTTAATGCATAATTTTGAAAGCTGTCATGTGTTATTTTGAATAACTCCCAGTCTTCCAGAATATTCATATTTTCTTCTATATCATTTATATCTTTAGAATTAGCTACAAAGACACCAGCTTTATTATGGGTCTTGCTAGATGCAACGTGAGATTTGGCATTTGGGCGAGGCATTATAATACTGAAAAGGTATAAATTTAAAAATTAATACTATTTTTGCACGCATACCGTTTTGTAATTTAATTAATCATGTTTGTTTTAGGAAATCGGTTTAACAATTAGATAGGACTATAGGACGCATTGAATAGTAAATATTTAATTTTATTTATTATTTATTGTAAGCTGAATAAATTATTAATTAATAATGAAATCTTATGTTTTTTACAATTTTAACGGATATCAAATTTAATATTTAAAAATTGAATTTACATTTCGTTTGTATTGCGAACATACATAGTTTTTTAAATCTAGTTGGTTTTTGAACCCCAATTAAATCGATCTTATCCAACATATAAGAGCATAAATTAATATTATCTTGCTATTATAATGTGGTGCTTAGTATTTAAGTGTTACATTTAAATAAAAATTAAATCTAAATGTATTCAATGACTGATCTATGTATATTGAGGGTGCTCTCAAGCACCTAAATTGATTAGTAGAAAATAAATTATTCAGTCAAGCGAGTTCATTATCTTAATGAAAAAAAAGATGGTCTGAGACCATCTTTTTTTTATCATAGTGTTGCGCTAATTGACTAAAATTTAATATCCACATTTCGCAACATGAATCTTTGGCAAAATTACTGGATTACTTTAATTTATCGTATTTGTGCACGATCTCTATAACTAGCCAATCACATTAAGAGATGCTTGAGAGTACCCTGTCGCAAAGGAACAACCTGTAAATTTTATAGGGTTTTCCTTATTCAATACATGCTATTATGAGATTTACAGAACAGCCACCAAAAGCCCAGGTTTGCATCACAACCGTAGCATCTAATTGTTATATTACTTGCTGGCTCAACAACAAAAAAAAGCCAATAATTGTATAAATCACATGACCTGAGTTTTTGGTGGTTGTCTTGTAGATCTCGAAATAATCACGTGAGCGTAATAGTGCATTCTAATTGGTTTTTATTAAAAACATATATGTTCACATTTTTACAATTTATTAATAAATTGTTAATTTTTTTTAATTTTTAAAAGGTTACTGCTCTACCAGTTTAGCTATAAATTAAAATCTAAACCACAAGTTATATTTTTTAGAACAAAAAGAACAAATCTTGTGAATTAATTTTATGTTTTATAAATTTTTTAAAAAAGAGTAGTATTTTTTGTAAAGCTATTTTTTATGGAGATTTAAAGCCGCTAGCACCATATTTGGTCTGACCGTCGTTACAGGATCTCTATCCCAACACCCGAAATAGTCATCAAAGCACAGAAGAATTTGATTTTTCGTCATCGGTGGGAATTGAACTCTGGATGTGCCACTTGGGGGGTGACAACTTGACCACTTCACTAAGTCACCACACCCCATAATTTGAAAGCTTCAAGCCTCTATCTTGTAAACTTGTAGCAAACACTACAAAAACTACTTTTGGTTTTAAAACTCCAACTTTTAAATATTTCTCTAAAACCACCTTCACAACTTATCTGACAGCTCTAAGATAAGTTGTTAAGCTCTCCTACTCAGCCCTCAATGAAAGTTTTTGATCCAATATTAACCAAGTTACTAACAGAAAACTCTTTTCACTCCTCTATAAAAATTTATTAAAAAATTCTTTGTTTTTACCCCCAACTTTTTTTCCTTCAACCCATTTTTCGTATAACAGTAAATCACCTCCAAATTTAGATTTAATTAAATTTTTTATTGTATTAATCAAATTATCCAAAATAGTAATTTAATTAATAATACAATGCTATTTTTATTATTTGTTACCTATTATTATTTTTATATAACTTCTGTACTTAAAACACTATTTAGTACTATATGTAACTTCTCTGTTATACCAGTTACACCAGCCACACTAGCCACACCCTCATATCACTCAATACTAATTTGGGTTATATAAGGTTACATGAGGTTACATAAGCCACATTAGTCACAGTTATAACACAACAACCCCTATCTATATCCACCCTTGTTATAGTGTTCTGCTATTACTACAATATTACAAGTTTTCTCTAAAAAATTTACTAAGTCAATCTATTCTGCACTTCTAAGCAAAATCTAACAACAAGATGTCTACTTCTATTGCTCAAAATCCTGACATCATTGACTTCGATGCCTATTTTAAAAGCTATGCAAATCGCTGAGATATTGCTATCCATAAAGATAACCTTGAAGATATCAAAGTCATTTCTAGTGGATTTGAGCCAAAGTCTTGTATTACAACAAATACCAAAACCCTCAAAGCTACCTATTTCTTCAAAGCACTAGTAACAACCGCAACAATTTAATGTCTTTGCCACAATTATCATATACACTTTGTCTTAAAAACCAATACTCACTATATCTCTATCTTTATGACTTCTACTATGTCTAAACACCAAAAAAAGAAAAATACCAACCAAACTACATCAGCAAATTTATTGAGGCGAAATATTTCGAAATAATTTACGAAACGTAAAAAAAGCGTAATATTGCGTAAAC